CCAGCATGCTGGCTGAGGATTTCTGGGAGTTGAAGTCCACACATCTTAAAGTTGCCAAGGTTGAGAAACACTGGGTTGGACTCTCTCTAGCGTCTCTGCTTCAGAGACACTCCCTGGTTTCTGGAACCAGTGTGGCTTACTTGTATTCGTCTTATTTTTGTGTTTAACATTTTCAATAAAATCAATAAATAAAAGGAATCCATGCAGCAAAGCATGGCCCCCATTACTCTGATGTATTAAAACACTGCTCGTGTGTGTTGCTAGATTTGGGAGGCTTTGTCTTCTTCAGACCTGAAGCAATGAAATTTCCTGGTCCAGGGTAGCAGATGTACCTTGTGACAAACATACAAGCCACTGAACCCCCAAATGTGCCCATTGAGATGTTTTACTGAGACTGCTTGACAGTTTCCTTGTTACTAAAGATCTCTTTCAACTGCTGAGGACAGATTGCAGAAAAAGTTTGGTTTCTCCAGACAGCCTTTAACCAAATGAGTTAGATTGTTAAAACAGTACAAGATAGTAGGTTGCAGAGATGGGAAATTTCTTCTGTAATTGTTATACCCGAATTAAATATGAAGCCAGTGGTATGCAGGCTGTGGTCCCAGAATTGCATGCAGCTCCATTGAAGCCCCCAAAGGTGCCACCAGGTTCTTACTTTTAATGTGGCAAGGAGGGAATACTTGAGGAATAATCCTCATGACTATATTTAACAATATATTAATATTTCATTTAACTAAATTCAGTTTAGGGTTTGTCTTTCCTCTGCCAAATTCTTCAGTGCTATTCAAAGGTTAGGTGCAGCCCTGTGTCCCAAAAATCATGTGCCCCTCTGTTAAAGGAATGCTAATTATTTCTAGTATGTAATAAAGAATATAATGTAGTGTATCATGCTAATGTTCAATGATTGCAGCTGTGTAGAAATGGAAGCAGGCAATTAAGGAGAAGCACCGCTCCATATAATAGATTTTAGATAGGCAACAGACATCTCCATTCCTTAAATATGATCTATTAGGAAGTATTTTTTACTGAAATGGGCATCCATTGAAATGCCAAATTCCTCCTCTTTCTGTTGGGATATCTGTTGCAGAGCCCGTCCTAAAGGATTGTGCTCTGTGCTTTGCATTTCCGTCAATCATTGCTTCCATCAATCAACATTTCAATGGAATCAGTCAGTCAATCCATCTGGCAGGAGAATGTGCTCTTCCTTTTTTCAATGGCTTCTTTATAAGAAATTTTAAAAGTGGGTTGCTGGCACCTTGATTGTTTAAGAGATTTAGTTCAGTTGCTAACTGTGAACATTGATTCAGGCTCTACACAGATCTCAATAACAAGCACCTTTTATTTCTAAGGCTTATAGACAAGGACTTGACTGGTTTTTTAATGCAAGCTGACAACATGGATCTTTCTTCCCCCAGGGACCAGAAAAAAAAATAGAAAGAAACTGGGTTTTACTCAAGTAGAATGCAAGTAGTTTAAATGCTTGTGCCTAGCTGAACATATTAACTTTCCTACTTCCATTGTTCATTCATCAGAGATAAGATTGGTCATGTCAAACTCTATCTTATCCTTCAGGCATTTAAGACATTGGACAGCTTTTTCTTCAAGAGGCACATTAAGGAGGACAGGAACTCTCCTGTTATATACTGGTTAATATTTGCCCAGCTTTGCTTTTACAGTACTGGGGCTTCTGATGCAAGTCATTAACTCCCAGTGGTGACTTTAACTCTCTCTCACCAGCTCCCATGCATGCAGAATGCCATTCTTTTCTCAAAGATACCTCAAGGCTTCCGTGGGTATCAGTGTTTTCCATAAAATCTTTTTTATGCCATCTTTTCTTGCCTTCCCCTCCTTTTTAAAGAAAATAAAAGAAAATAAGAAATTGCAAGGGCAGATGGCCTTCTCCAAACCAAGGAGCAGATACCTGCAGAGCTGGTGTTAAATGGTGGTTTTGTGGGACACCTATGAAGGGTCACATCAGAATAACAGCAGCCTTCTGCTTTCTGTATTTCAATAATGCAAGTGATAAGAGAAGTGATGAGGAATAATAATCTCGGCTTTCTTTGGCATGGGCTATACCTTGGACCCAGAGGGAGGAACTAGTGGATGGTTCGTGGTCCATGTGGAGACTGGACAGAAGGAAAATAGGATGTTCAGAAAGAAGGACTCAATGAGAAAACTTTGACTATGGACTTAGAATCTGGTCTGAGATCCTTGGTCATCTGTCAAAGTTGTCAGTGCTGATCCTTGCCAGGGCCTCTGCTCCAGTCTTAATGGGCAATGTTGACTGGCCATTTTTATTTCCCACCATGCTGCTGATGTGATGTCAATCTGGAACTGCATAGAAAATGAAAAGAGATGCTCAATGATATTAAGGCACCAGGCTAGAGACCAGCTGGGTGATCTTGGGCCAGTCCATCTCTCTCAGACCTAGGAAGTGACAGTGGCAAACCACTTCTGAAATCTTGCCAGGAAAACTGCAGGGACTTGTCCAGGCAGTCACCAGGAGTTAAAAACTGACTCGAAGATAACCAAAAAAAACCCCCAAAACCTGCAAAGAAGGGAATAACATTGACTTGGGAAGGGCCTTCCAGCTCTAAAAGACCATTGAAACAGACAATTCCAGGTGTTGAGGAATTACCTGGGACTATCAGTTTTGATGGCCTTGGCTTCTGATCTTTTCTTGGTTTTGAAGCTTTACTGGCAGTTAATACGATGTTTGTTCTAGTTAAGCAAATTGTTTGACTTCTTTTGCAGTCCTAATAATATTTGAATTTCTTATCTTTCTGTAAGAGGGTGGCTACAAAATAAAAATATTTCTGTTTAAAAAAAAACACAGCAAAAGTGCAGTGTCTTCCGGTTTTCTCTGTGAGATCTTGCCATGAATGAAGATAAGGCTTTTTACCGAAGCGAGATTTTGTAGAGGAAACCCCTCCCCATTGGTCATTATGGTGTCTTTGTAAGGGCGGTTGGGTTTTCAGATAGCAAGATAACTTGGGTTGGAAAAAGAAATGCTTGGAATTCCTGTTTGTCGGATTGAAATAAATACATACATAAAATTGAAATATTCCCACATACCAAGGTGACAGTTTTACATTTGGACAAGTTACTTGGAGGAGTAAGGTCAACTATCTGCTGTTTTGATCTGTTTCTACCCTGGTTGATGGAAACAAAAAACAAAACCAAAGGTGATTTGTGGTATGGCTGTGAAGTTTGATAACATCTCTTGAATGAAATGAAATCCCAAGTCATTTGAAGGAAACAGTTCCTTTAGAAGGATCACAGTCCACAGGTCAGTTTTCAGGATGAGGCTTGCATAAAGAATCTCACGCATTCAGTCTCTGCCATCCTCAGTTAAATATGGAGATCTTGAAGATTTCCAGATCTTGAAGATTGGATCTGATGGTCCAATTTGCTGCAAGGGTGGTGAGTTTAGCTCAGCCACATCATGGCTTCATTGGTACTGCCATAATTGTGATATGCCAGCCATTGCAGTTTGTAAACCATGGTTATGAATTTACACTATGGGTAAATTCAGCCAATGGTCGCTTGTAATTCAGTACAAAATGCATCTTGGTCTAGTGAGATGTGCAAACCCAATTCCCATCAGGAACAGCATGCCTGGAGGATTACTTTGTTCAGTTCTTCATTATACGTCAATCTGGGTGAGGCCAGACCTAATCATGGCTGGATCACTCATTCCTGCTGATACTTTCTTTTCTGGAGCACATTTCTCTCTCTCTAATACGCCCTTCACCCAGACACCTCTGCAGCAAACAGATCACTCTTTCCAGAGATCTGAATAGTTTGTTTGCAGAGGATTTTCAAAATTAGGCGGAGGGCTGCACAAGGTTGCAGGTTGTTCACTCTTGGTATAATGCAAGCTCTCAAATCACAGGGCTTTAGGAGCTGATTGTTACCATAAAATCAGAAGCAAAAGAAGGGAAAGGGTGTTATAGTGTCTTCTTAAAAGTTCTTATTATTTGCAAAACCATTATTAAGAATCTCAAATAGTAATGGATATGTGAGTTTTCCCAGTGCCCATGTTTTCATGGCCAACATCTCGCCATCCATGCATATCAGGGAAATATAAGTGGGAGATGATAGGACATTTGAGGGGAAGACATACGTTAGGGAAAAAACCCACAAACCCTGTAGGAATAAAATTCCCACATAACAAATGTGGCCTCAAAAGCTGATTATTGGAAGAAAAAGAAAATCAGGAGGGAGGGAAATGGACTAACGTATTTCAGGTGGTTGTTGCAGAACCCATTTTTGGCAACTCTTCCAAAAAGATACAGAAGGACAAGAGCAGACCTCGGCTCTAGTCAGATATTAATGAACCTCAACTCCCAGCATCCCTCACCTTTGGCCATCCTAGCAGGGGCTGCTGGGAGCAGTAGGTCCGCAACATCTGGAGTTCCCTCTCTTGCTGTAGATGCAGGACTTAAGTCACCGTCCTCTCACATCTCCTTTCTCAAGAAGATTGAGGACTACTTTGCTGGATGACCTCACAAGTTTCTAAAATGCAGCAATCAGCTTTATCTTTTTGGGATAGGGCTTCGTTCTTTCTGTGGTCATGTCCTTCTGATAAAGGATATCTTTTCTGTAATTCAGGGATGCAACCCCCTTGCAGAGACCGGGCGGAGTAAATTGCAAAACCGGAGAGCTGTCCTGAACCAGCAGATTCTGAAAGCAGTGAGGATGAGAGCTGGCGCGGAAAACCTCCTCCGGTATGTTCCCACGATTTTCCTCTTCTTTTTGCCCATAGTCACAAAATGCAGCCTTTGTTCTTCTCTACAGGAACAGCCTCCCAGTTCCCAGCCAGTGGCCCATTCGCTCCAACACCTTATTGAGAATAAATAGAAGACAGAGTTTGGCAGGCAGATTTACTTAACGTTTTTACTGTTCCCTCTCAAAGAAAGTTTCTGCTGCTCCACAAGCCCTCTCCTGCTTCTCTTTCTATATGATTTCCTTTAAAAACCAGCCCATTGGTATGGGCCATTTGATGTAACAGGCCAATTTTAACCCCCTCCCCCTATTATCCTCATTTATAGCAAGTTGGGTAATGACGCTAACAGTCACAAGGAATCTACATCAAGTGGAATGCTAAATTCTTTTGTACTATAACTACTTTTTAATGCTATCAGTGTTTACTCAGTTAACCAAAAAAAAAAAGATACTAGAAAATCATTTCTCAGCCAGAGGATTAAAGGGCAACCAGCGATGGTACCATTTGTTTCTCAGGGCATCTCTCAGAACACAAAGGAGAGCAACATGGGCCATTGGGCTCATCAGAAAAAAGAGGCATAAGGAACTTTCTTCACACACTCCTCCCACAAAGGAAACTGTCCCAAATGTCAGTTGTCCTGGAGACATGAAGGTAGCACATTCCAGTATCTCTGGCTGTGGGTCCAAGTGCCATTGGGATCTGTACCTCCCACTTCAACAGAAGAGCATAATGCAGAGGGGAAAACCAGATGGGACCCATCTGTTGATCAAGGAAAGAAAGCTGCACCAAATCTGCTTTTTCTTCCTCTGTTGGAAAATACCCTGCTGTTAAGAATTGGCTTCTTCTTTTCCACCTCCCTCCCAATTCCTTTGCCTTTCATGCGGAGCTCTAGTTCCTGCCCTTGGTTTTGGAGTTGGTCTTATTCACCTTCGTAAGCAACTCTTGTAGTCTTTTTGACTGTAGAGCAAAATCAAGATGGTTTAAGCCAGTGTTTCTCAACCTTGGTGACTTTAAGATGGGTGGACTCCAACTCCCAGAATTCCTCAGCCAGCAGGCTGGCTAGGGAATTCTGGGAGTTGAAGTCCACTCATCTTAAAGTCACCAAGGTTGAGAAACACTGATTTAAATGAACAGTAAACCACGGTGAGGTATAACAACACATTTTAAATGATTCATTCCAGAAGAAATGTTGGCTTAAATTTTAAGGCAAGAAAGTTGAAGGAAAGAAAGTTTCCCTCTTCCTTCAAGTGCTCTGTGATTTACTGCCCCCAAGTCTGTTAAGAGGGTCAGGGTCATTAGGATGAGGTATTAGGGACCGTTAAGGATAAAAGGGAATGGGAGATGTCTTCCTTATGAATTCTCTTATTGAAGAATCCAAGCTTGATATTAGTCTTCTATGAAATTCCATAAGAGGTCTTATTATTTAGTGTGTCTTCCTCAATTGAAATATTACTACATGAAAATGCCTGATCACCTCGCATATATTTCAAGGCCATTCCACCTTCTTTTTCCTGTGTTTGGCAGTAGCAAAAGCAATTTTAAAGCAAGACTCTTCATGAGAGCATCTGCAGGTGGTGGTAGTAGGGAAAAAATCGGAAAAGTAGAGAAAACGCTGGTAAGGCTCATCGTACTCTCAAAAGGTTGTTCTCCAAACATTTATTTTTAATTATTTTTCCTTTGGGCAGTGCGACGACCAGCCCCAAAGTGCGAGAACAGGTGCTGCTGGAGCTCAGTTACGTCAATTCGAACCTGCAGATCCTCAAGGAAGAGTTAGAAGGACTCAATATCTCCGTCGAGGTGTATCAGAACACCGAGTAAGTGAAGGAAAAAGCAACTGCAGTGATGATCCCTTCTTTTTGCTAACTGATGCAAAAGCAAACAAGCAAAAGAATGCTGGACTGAGAGAAAATTCAAAAAAGAACAAGGGAACAAGCTGTATGACTGAAATGGTCCTGCTGTGCCCAAGGATTAAGACAGAGTCTTTTAATTGCTTCTAGGAAAGGAATTCAAAGTAATGAATAAGGCCAGAGAAGTGGTTTGGATGGCAGTGAGAAAAGCAAGACTAAAATCTTCCCCTTATTTTAATCTGCTGGAAGCTACCAGGGAAAACAGAGACTGAATTTGCAGCAGACGTTTAATACTAAGGACTATGGCAAGCGTAAATGCCATTTACTGGTGGCTGGCCTTGCTCATTTAGGAGTTTCTCTCCCACTCCAACATTTGAACTTGGCAGTCTTGTAAACCAGTGTTTCTCAACCTAGGCAGGTTTCAGATGTGTGGACTTCAACTCCCAGAATTCCCCAGCCAGCAAGGCTGGCTGGGGAATTCTGGGAGTTGAAGTCCACAAGTTTTAAAGTTGCCGAGGTTGAGAAACATTGCATTAAGCGATTGTTAGATACCCTTAGGCAGTGCTACTTTGAACAAATGCATACAAGCATGGCTTTTTTAAAAATGCTGATCACAGCATCACATATATGCTTGGGTCTTGCTTTATGGGGGATTTTAACCCATCCGTTGATCATAAATGGTCCATTAATCCATCCAGAGATTGAAGTGATATTTTGCCAAAGGTTGAATACTTGGAAGAAGGAGGTCTACTATTCTTTTCCCCATGAGTTTGGCATTTCAGAGTCAGAATGAGGAACTGAATGCCGCTCTGCATTCATCTCAAGTGTTGGCAAGAGCACTGGCAGCTATAGAAATCTGTGCACAAGCCTTGGCAGCTGAATAAAAAAGATCATGGGAAGAAAATTTAAAATCAAAAGGATTTGGTTTAATGTCTTGGCAAATGCTGTGGATTTGGTTTGGCTATCCTTCTGTTTCTCATTTCCCCCCAAAAGCAGGCTGCCTCAAAATCACAGTGATGGGTTGTTCCTTTTGGGATGGCTTTTAAGTTTACTTCTGCCAGTAGCACAGAAGGATCAGGAGAAAATGGTGAAGAGCAAAGTTATCTTGGAATGCGTAGATATTCCTGGGAAATGATGAACTGGTGATGGTTTGACACTTAGATCTCTGCTTGCTTTTGTTAGAACAGCTGGATTCCTTAGTAGGTGGAATCTTTCCCTGCTTAAGAGCAAGAGAAGTACTCTGTGTTTACTTCTTACAAAAGAACATGTGAAGATGGTTGACTACGAGTAGATTCCAGTAGTAGTCCTTTCAGCAGCCCGGCCATTCTACACTCCTTGGGGCCACCCCATCTCTTTGGAGAGGTCTCCAGGGCTCAATTGCTTTTGGTGCTCATGCTAATTAGTCATTAGCATACACTCCCGATCCTTGCTGGGATTGGCCTCATCCTAACTCCATCTCAATGTGATTGGTCATTTCCCTTTCCTGTTAGTATTTCCACTGGCGTATTTTAGGCTTCAGTCTTAAGAGTATATTATCCAGTGGTTTGCTGAGGAGTTGGAAAAGATTAAAGCTGACATCTAAAGAGCTAAATTGCAGGATGAGGGAGCAGGATCTTCTAAGGTGGGTAGGGAGGTAAACAAAAGTACAGATTCTGGGAGAACTTGGGAATCCCTTTATCTTCAATATGCTGCCTCCCGGTTATAGTTTAATTAGTTCCAGCCCAAAATATCAGGCAGTGGGAGGTAGCCTCCAAAGTCCTCTGCAAAAGTCCCCAAGAACTTCTGCAAAAGTTCCCTCAAAACTTGTGAATTTTTGTGACAACCGCAAAATGTGATGAAATACATAAGGAAGAATAACACGAAGCGCATGTCATTATTGAAATTTATTTTTCATTAAACTGAATGTAAACTAAATTATAGCAAACTGAGTTTTAATCCTCATATGTCTTTGGGAATATGGCCCCCACTATGTCAGTCAAAGGCCAAGCATGGCCTTTAGCCTGAAAAGCCATGGGGAAATAGCATGTCCTGTGCATGTGTTGCGATAAGGAAGTGCAAATGAAGACAATGATTTACACATAGCAATTCCTCAGCCACCAACTTTCCACCATGGTTGTGTAAATCAAAGATATTAAATGTGAATTTCTTCTTCTGACGCAGGGAAGCTTTTAGCATTCCTCTGATACCACTTGGCCTGAAAGAGACCAAAGACGTGGACTTCGCAGTTCCCCTCAAGGTATTTTTCAAGCAGCGCTAAAGGAATTAGGGTCTTTTGGCTGTAAATAAATAAATAAAGTGCACTAAAGGAAATATTTGCTCAAAAAAAAAAAAGTAAATTGCCAACATCCTTCTGAAAAAGAAGAGCTCGCCTTTTAAACTTTCTCCTAGGAATAAAATGTCTAGCAAATTACAATAGAAACCTGATCAGATTTAATTTGGACAGAGGTATGGCTTCATCGGAATTCCTTTCCTAAAATTGCTTCTCTTTATTTCAAAACTCCTTTTTTGTTGTCGTTGTTTGGCGAGGTTTATTCAGAAGCTGCTGTCCGGTAGCTTTGCAAATATTTATACCATGCATTAAATTAGTTCTTCTCAGTGCCTTTATTGGTGCCTGACTTTTGCCCCGTTTCCCTCTCCCCCAGATGCTGGACACGTCTGACTTCTGGACTTTATTCTCTTGATTTTTTCCCCCCAGTCTCTTTTCTGTTTTTAAAATAAGAGATCATACCAAACATATGTTTGTGCTCTGAGCTAGATGATGAAAGAGATCTAAAGTCCAGAAGCCCATCTTTTTGAGAAGAGCCAGGAAGTGTCAAAATTAACCGGGGAAGCTAGTTTGCCAAAGGGTAGGGCCGACTCCTTTGAACTTCATTCTGCTAATGATAGGACTGGCCTGCTAGTCATCTGTTCTACCAACAAACAAGTCCAGCAGACTTTGGAATTTGGGCTGTCCCCTTTTTACCTGGCCAATTATGGAGGTAAACAATGTTTTTGAACCTTGGCAACTCCAGAATTCTCAGCAGTGACCATGTTGGCTGGGAAATTCTGAGAGTTGAGATTCACACATCTGGAAGTTGCCAAGATGAGGCCAAGGAACTTCAGTATAAATCAGAATATCTCCAAGAACTTAAGAAAGGCCTTAACTAATCAGACTGAAAGGGCATCTAATCCAGTATTTCTCAACCTTGGCAACTTTAACTGACTGGGGAATTCTGGGAGTTGAAGTCCACATGTCTTAAAGTTACTAAGGCTGAGAAACACTGACAGTATAAACCTGCTCCAGTTTACTCTCTGTGTTAATGAGGCAGTGTTCTGGTTCATCTGAGCTTTTAAAATATTTTTTAAAACTAATTGGGGGAAAAAAATACCCATGTTCATTCACAGCTTTCATTATAGAGCTTAGGAACTTAGTTTCCCATAATCTTTGCCATATAAATTCCCTGGGAAACTTTTTATGACATATGAGGCTTTTAAAACTAATCACTTTGATCTCATTCTTTGATATGGGAACTTCCCCGATGTTAGATTTTAGGTAAGTTTTTCTAATCTAAGCTCTTCATTTTTCTAACTCCTCCTTCTATTACACTCAGAAACATGTTTGTTCTCTGACTCAACTGTCACAAAAAAGTAACGGTGGTTGTCCAGATGTTTAAATCAGGTTTGAGGGTGTATGCTGGCCTGAAATGCTGACTGTCAGTGGGCAAGACACATTTTCACGGAATGGAGTCTTTTAAAGAAATGCATTAATTCCCCAGTTTATATATGTCTGTGGTTGAATGAAACAAATACATGATTCAGTGGCATTTTATAAAAAATATATAATTATTTTAATGGATTATTTTAATTATTTTCAGGACTTTATTTTGGAACACTACAGTGAAGATGGTGCAGAATATGAGAATGAAATTGCAGATCTTATGGATCTAAGACAAGTAAGCTGGTTCTATTTTAAGAAGGCTCTATTTCAGTGTTTCTCAACCTCAGCAACTTTAAGGCGTGTGGACTTCAACTCCCAGAATTCCCCAGCCAGCATGCTGGCTGGGGAA